GATACAGTGTCATTGGTGACCTAGCTTTTATTCCTGAAGATGCTGACTTAAAATTGCCAGGGCCCAGAGAAGTTAATGTCATCCATACCTGACTGATACCCTTAAATGACAGTTAAAACATTCAATCCAATTCTTAGTAAATACTATGGACACCTAAGCCAAAATGAAGAATAATGTCTATTCCCTTGTATATCTAAGAGAGAATTTCAGTTAACACTAAATGGGCTACAAGGAAGGATAACCACATATTTATCATGGTTAAAGTTTTCCACATACTTCCTCATAACTAATTTTTCCTTTCAACACTCCTATGAATTAGACAAGATTGTTTTATCCTAATTCACTCATGAGAAATCTGAGACATCAGGATGTTTGGCAATTTCTCCAAATGTGATATAATTAGTATGTATGAAGTAGGCCTTATTACCAGGCATCTCCAGTCCAGAAACTACACTTTTAATGTTATACTTTTAATTTCTGATGGTTAGGAATACACGACTAATAAACATTAAGACAAGATGGATTCTTTTCATTCAAGTTTGTCAACATGCTGGCTATTTTTCTGTACCTAATTTAGTAGTTCTCTTTAGCTTCCCATTCTTTACAGGAAAAGGGAAAGTGGACAGAACTATATTTCAAAGAATACTAGAATTTTTATTTTATCAGACATAGCCATAACAATGATGAATATCATATAAAGTGATGTGTAACTGTTATGCCCTAAGCTTTAGTCTGTCATGTCCTTTGATATGTATTGGTCCACTTCATCATTGAACCTACTATGACTCAATGGGTAGGTGCTACTGTTATCTTTACATTATAGAAACTAGAACTTTTGCTAAAATTCATTCAGTTTGAAATTACTAAGACTAGGATTAAAACTCAGATCTGTTTGACTATATGTCTGTTCTCATACTTATTGTTCAATAGTGTCTTAGCATGGGTACACCATCTTAGAGCACACCAAATCCATGTCATCATTTCTCAAAGTCCTTAATAGGATGCAAACTACACTAGGAATGTGGAAAAACACTTGTGTTTTCATTTTCTTTCTGCATATGTGACTTGTATGTTCTTGATGTTTCTGGAAATAGAATGGTCCCAATAATAAGACAAATTAATAATGCCATATTATTTACATGGCCCCTTATTACCCAGATGAAAACAATGTCAAGTATTAAATTACTTAGTAAGACAAACATAAAAAACTATACAGTGATTATACTTATTTTTCTATGCTAAAAAGTGTCAATACAAATGTCCATGAAAATATTTGCTCTTAGGTATACAAAACAGCACTAAATAGTAGCCAAAAGGCAGAAATGCCTGAAATATCAATAGGTGAACAGATAAACAAAATGTGCTTCATCCAAACAATGGAATATTATTTAACCATAAATCTGAATAAAGTGTTAGTATATGGTACAACCTTAAATAACTTAGGAAACAAATCATTATGGTAAGTGAAGCCAAATATTAAAAGGGTCACACATTGTGCCATCCCATTATAGAAAATAGGCAAATCCATGAGGATAAAAAAAATTGATTCGTGAGCTATCAAGACCAAATAAACTATTTAAATAGACCAATAGCCCCTAAGGAAATAGAAACAATCACGAAAAGTCTCCCAAACAAAAAAAGCCCCAGACGAGATGATTTCAGTGCAGAATTCTATCAGATTTTTAAGGAAGAGGTAACACCAATACTCTTCAAATTGGGCTACAGAGCTTAACAGAGGATTCTCAACAGAAGAATTTCAAATGACTGAAAGACATTTAAGGAATTGCTCAACATTCTTAGTCATCAGGGAAATACAAATCAAAACAACTCTGAGATACCATCTTAAACACCTGTCAGAATGGCTATGATCAAAAACACTGAAGACAGCTTATGTTGGAGAGGATATGGAGCAAGAGGAACACTCCTCCACTGTTGGTGGGAATGCAAACTTGTGCAACCACTCTGGAAATAAGTATGGCAGTTTCTCAGAAAATTGGGAATCAATCCACCTCAGGACCCAGCTACACCACTCTTGGGCATATACCCAAGAAATGCTCAATCACACCACAGAGACACTTGCTCAACTATTTTCATAGCAGCATTATTGATAATAGCCAGAACCTGGAAACAACATTGATGCCCTTTAGCTGAAGAATGGATAAAGAAAATATGGCATGTATACACAGTGGAGTACTAATCAGCAGTAAAAAGACAATGATATCATGAAATTTGAAGGCAAATGGATAGAACTAGAAAATATCACCCTGAGTGAGGTAACCCAGACTGAGAAGGACAAACATGGTATGTCACTCACTCATAAGTGAATATTAGATGTAATACAAAGTATAACCAGACTATAACCCACAGCTCCAGAGAAGCTAGTTAGCAAAGAGGACCCTAAGAGGGACACATAGATAGCCCATCAAAGGAGAAATAGATGAGTCCTACATGAGCAAATTGGGAGTGGGGAGTAATAGAGGGCAAAGAATGGGGCATGAGAACATAAGGAAATGGGAGGGTCAAGCTGGAACAGGGACAGCGTGGGAGAACAAGGAAAGAAATACCATGATAAATGAAGACATCATGGGAATATAGGAAGGGGCAGGATGCCAGGGAAGTTCTCAGGAATCCACAAGAATGACCCTACCTTGGACTACTGGCAGTGGTCGAGAGGATGCCTGGACTGGTCTACTCTGGTGACTGGACTAGTGAATACCCTAACTGTCATCATAGAGTCTTTATCCAGTGACTGATGGAAGCAGATGCAGAGATCCATGGCTGGGCACCAGGCTGAGCTCCAGGAATCCAATCGATGAGAGAGAGGAGGGATTCTGTGAGCAGTGGATGTTGAGATCATGATGGGAAAACATGCAGAGATGACCAGCCACAGTAGTGGAAACCCATGAACTATGGACTAATAGCTGTGGAGCCACCATAGGACTTGACTAGGCTCTCTGGATATGTGAGACAGTTGTTTAGCTTGGACTGTGTGTGGGGCCCCCAGTCAGGGGGATTGGGATCCATCCCTGGTGCATGGGTGGGCTTTTTCGAGCCCAGTGCCTAGGATGTGACACCTTGCACAGCCTTGGTGCAGGGGGAAGGGGCTTGGACCTGCCTCAGCTCAGTGTGCCAGGCTCTGCTGACTCCCCATGGGAGACCTTGACTTGGAAAATGTGGGGATGGGGAGTGGGTTGGGGGGAAGGCTGGGTTGGGAAGAGGGAAGGGGGGGAATCTGTGGTTAGTGTGTAAAGTAAATAGAAAATTTCTTAATAATAAAAAGAATAGATTAGTGAGCTACCCTCAGGGATTAAGGGAAAGGATGAATGAGTATATTTCATGGGTATAGAGTTTCCATTTGGGATAATGAAAATATTTTGGGATTGGTGATGGATGTACAAGTCTGTCAATATATTGAATGTCACTAAACTATGAATTTATAAATACTTAATTTTATGTTATATAATATTTAATAATAAAAGAAAAAAGAGTTTTAAATCATATACTCTTGTAAAAGTGTGCTAAGTCTCATAAATCCACTGTTCACCAAATGTTGTCATTACTACCAAATGACTATAGCCTTCTAAATTTCTTAACTTGTCCTCAAAACTCTCTATAGTGGCTTCTCTGTGAATGCCTGAAACCTTGTGAGCACTTCCTGCTTCCTGAACTCTATCATTTTGCTATACTGTGGCCATTTCAGATTCTCTATTGAATGAAGGAACTTTAGCTATGTCTGGTCAGAAGGCAGCAGGCTATAGATGCTTCCAACTCATCATTCTGTATCAGTACTTTAAATGCTATCAGCAAAGTTATCTTAAAATCTCAGATGATTCAGGTCAATGAGTCTGATACCACTTTTTAACTTAATACCAAAAAAATGATACTATGAATTATAAAGCAGAGTACATTTATATATTCACATAGAGAGAAAATCAATGTTCAAAATTTACTCTCAGTTATTACTACAATCTGATCTAAACATTTACATTAAAATTTAAGGTCGCAGCTACAAAAATCAATGATGTAGAATTTTTGCTTTGTTTTTGTTTTATCTACAAATGTGATGCTCTTGTTATTGGCATATTAAATGCAGAAAGCAGAAATGACAGACATTGCAAATGAAGTGTGTGTTTCACATTTGTTATGAAGCCCACAAGTCAAGGAAGAGAGGGACTGATTGCATTTGGTAAATGCACAGCCAGAACCTTGGAAACAGCTGTGAGGTTGTGAGGGTGGAGGTAGTACTCTACTTGTGCTTGTTCTTGATAGTTCACTAAACTTGCAAATATGCAAGATTTATATATAATCAAAACTGCCTTGTGTACTCCATATTTGGTGGCATAACCAGAACCCTACATTTGGAAAACTGTACAGGGATCATTGATATTATACACCATTGCTGGTACTTATAATGCTATTTTACTTTTTAAAACCAAGAAGTGCAATCTCATCAGAAATGATTAAAAAAAAAACATTACAATCATCTCATTTGGGGAGAAAGTACTGAGAATACTAATAGTACAGAACAGAAGAAATCAAGGACAATTAAAAGCTTTTGATGAATGCATGTTGCTGCAACATTCATTCTCAGTTCCATTGTGCATCTTGAAGAAGAAATGGAGCAGTCACATTTACACCAAAATTAATGGGTGTAAATGCTAAGCTTCACACTGGAATCATCCTAGTGGACATGACATGTCACCTAAATACAGCAAGTTGTTCAAAAGACAGAAAGACAGTACTCTCTATGGCTTATTGATGAGCAGTATTTGTGTACAGAAAACAGAGAGATGGAAGGAAGTGAAATTGGTTTTAAAGAGCACAGCATCTACTTGCTGTAGCTTTAATGAAAGTGAAAGTTGATTTCACCTGTTCCTAAATACGATCATCTTTATTTCTTTCTCTCCCTGAAAAAGGAATAGGCTGTGTTTATGAAAGCCATTGTATTTCTTTGTGTCCACCCACTTCAGGCCCAATGCAAAGATCTTAGATCCTCCTACCTGGTAGAGCTCATTGGCTGTGCATTGAGTTGTCAAGGTCTTCACAGGCTCAAGGTCATCTTCATCACTGCTCAGCTTCAGGTCATCCTCAAGTATCCTGAAAGAAATCAGAGTGGTATTTGTGTTACAAAACATCTTGTCTAATTATTCTCAGATACATCTTGCAATGAGAATAAAACTATTGTTACTGTAATCTGACAGCTGCAATTCTGTCAAAAGTGCAGAGGGAACCAAGATTCTTACAGCTAATTAGATATTTGAGCTCTTTTAGTTATGTCATACACTGCACACATATCTTCTCTCTCTAACTTACCCTAAATCAAGAGAGCAATAGATGATTTCATCATCTCCAGAGACAGCAGGAATCTATGTATTTTGACTATTAAAAGGATAATAAATGTTCTGGTCAAGCACTATCAGGTTATGGGGGATTGCATCTCTATAGGAAGTTTCTTTGACTCTTCCAGGCAGGAAGACAGGCATGATAACAGTGCCAGGCTGCTCTGGGGGCTATTGGGGTAGACTGCTGAGGCTCTCTGCATGATAGAGGTCAAGTGAACTTTCACTGCCTCTCTGTGCTGGGCAGCTCAGTGACCACAGAATTGCTGAGCGAGAAATGGCTAGGCATTAACCTTTTGATATATGATCCATTTCTTGCAGTAAAATTTGATCCATCAAGGTATCTGAAAAATATGAGAGTTTTAGCTTTTGGTGATGAACTGGCACTTTCAAGACTGTTAGGTGGCCAGATAATACCATTAGTTTTGACAAGTGTTAATTTGAGTGCTATCTATCTTTAGAGTCTAGGTTGGAGTTAGAACAGGAAGAACAGCTTATTACCTTGAAGTTCCAGTTACATAGCCTTCAATGACCAATTTGTTTTCATCGTTTAATTGATTCAATATGAATTTAGAGCTCTTTAGGATGCAAGTGGAGGGATTCTCAACTATTCTGTACCATTTCCTAACTCCCAGGCACAATGCTCTGCTCTTCTGTTCTTTTTTTTTTTTTTTTTTTCTTCCTGGGTTAACATCAAGCTCAACTCTAAAGCCAAAATTCTATTCCTTAACTCTAGCTATCATATACTATGCCCTCCCATGGCTCAGTCAAACTTAATTCCTTTACAAAAGTTTTCTAGAAAGAATAATCTCTACAAAGACTCTCTCCTTCCTATATAAGTTCCCTAAACTGTGGCTGGATCACAGCACAGTTTTCCACAGTGCTTCCCTCATTGCCATGTGGGCGACAGGACACATTTGATTCACTTCCATCTTCTTTTTAGCATCTTTCCAAAAAGGATAGAGTCTACCAACTTCATTTTCTATACAAGAAAGGAAAGGTTCGGATAGGTGTACTACTTTACTCAAGGTCATACAATAGCACAATATCAGTGCTAAAATTCCCATTTCTGGAGTTCCATTTGTATTATTCATCTATAAGAAGGAAGGGAGAAGAGGAAATGAGGCTTCTAATTTGTTTTAACATGGAATTTTATTTTAGAGGTCTTGTTCAATTATTGGAAAGGGCTTCATGTCATAGTGGGTACATAATAATTCTCCAAAGAAAGCTTAGCTCCCCTATTCCCATACTCAGCCATAGAAGCCCAGGATACAGATATTAAGGTCTAAACAACAACAAATGATGCAAAGGGTGATGAGAAGGACACGTATTTGAGTTGGTTTTAGATCAACTAATTTGGCAGGATTTATGACTGTCCTGAAAACAACTAATGACTGTCTTGGAGATCTTAGAGGAGAAGAATATGTATCTTGACATTTCAAGTTTTGGGTTTGTGGCTCTAAAGAAGCAGTTCTTTATAATTTGTCCCCGGAAATGAAGACTGTATACTGTATCATTTTTACAAGCTGTAGAATCAAATATTTTAAAACTATCTGTGCTTATAATTGTAAAATGTTTTGCTCTGTGTGTGCATTTGTATATGTTAATATCTGTCAAAGTGGCCAGCACAATAAATGACACAAGATTCATCCATTTGTAGTGGTTAATTTCCTGAGTCAGGTAAAGTGCTACACATGTGGTATATATTGTGTACCCTAGTAAACTTGCCTGAGGACCAGAGGACAGAGCCAGTCACTAGATTAGACATAGAGGTCAGGCAGTGGTGGCACACACTCTTAATCCTATCACTTGGGAGGCAGAGATCTGTCTGGATCTCTGTGAGTTCAAGGTCACACTGGAAACAGAGCCAGGCAGCAGTGGCACACACCCTTAATCATACCACTTGGGAGGCAGAGATCTGTCTGAATCTCTGTGAGTTCAAGGTCACACTAGAAACAGAGCCAGGCAGTGGTGGCACACACCTTTAATCCTATTACTGGGAAGCACACATGCCTTTAATCCCAGGAAGTCATGTCTTGCCAGAGAAAGATATATAAGGTGTGATGAAACAGGAACTCACTATCATTAGACTGAGGATTTCATAGAGGTAAGAACTAGTGCCTGGCTGTTCTGCTTCTCTGATCTTTCAGCTTTCACCCTGATATCTGGCTCTGGGATTTTTATTAAAAGATCATCTAAGACTCAAATGACATCTGGCATCCAACTTGTGGGGCATGAACTCACAAAAAAACTGCTTGCCTGTGGCCTTGTAGGCCCCATCTCAGACCTGAGCTGCATGTGGCCAGAGTCTCCACCCCATGTGGGCTGGAGTCCCTAACCCCTGGCTAAGGTTTTGTTGCAGCCTCTCTGCAGCAAACTCCCTAGGCCCAGGCTCCAAACATGCCAGAATTAGTTGCTTTTGCATGTTCTCCCTGGCTCTTTGGCTTCTCCCCTCTCCCAGTGGGTTGTGGCTTTCTCTGGACCCCCTCCTCAGGCTGCTTCCACACCATCATCTGAACTGTCACTGTCAGCAGACTTGGTGAGTCAATTGGGATTTCTTTAAGGGAGGAATTAGTTAAAAGAAAGTTTTTTCCCACATTAAAAAATGGGAAACATTTTTACCATGGAGGGTGTTTGGTCTCTGTTTGATAACACATTAGGTGGTCTAAAAATGGAACAATTAAATGAGAGGATAATTAATGTAGATGGGATTATGTAATGTCAATTTGAAATATTATCTGTTTGGTATTTTTTGTTATATCATTAAAAAAGTTTGTTAATATGAGTGCCAAGATAAAAATTTTAGAAAAATTTGTTAAAAAAGATCATAGAGAAATTCAGACCCAGACAGAAGAATTTAAAGGTGAACCAATCTCAGCACTGAATTATACAGTTACAGAGAAAAAGCCTAAGGCTTTCAAATAGCCAATCTTAATCTATCCAGTAACCTTACAGGAACTGCCCACTGCTCAAGGCTATGTAAGAGCTAAATGGACTCCTGTGCAGATGTTATATTTGAGGAGATTCAATGAAGCTATTGTGTCTTATGGTTTGCATTCTCCATTTGTGAAGCAGATGTTAAACTCGTGATCAAATTGTAATAGAATTATTCCTCAAGACTGGAGAGATTTGGTTACAGCTGTCTTGGAAGCTGGTCCCGAATTACAATGGAGGACCTGGTAGAAGGACGAGGCTAAGACCATTGAGCAATGAAGTAGGGCTAGAGGTATGGAAATCTCCCAAGATCAACTTCTTAGAGAGAGATATTATGCTAATTTATAAAGGCAATCTCTATATGATGACCACACCCTGGTTTTATGCTGAATGGCAGCCTTGAATACTTGGGGCAGAATTGAAGAAGTAGGAAAGAAAATTGAGTCATTTACGAAAGTTATACAGGGCCCAAAAGAAACCTTCAATGATTTTCTACAAAGGCTATCTTCAGCAGTAAATAGAATGATACCAAATTTAGAAGCTAGACAGATAATAATTGAATCTCTCAACTTTGAAAATGCTAACATACAATGCAAAAGAATAATTAAGCCATTAAAGGCAAGTTCAGCATCCTTGGAGGTATAGATCTGAGATACAAATAAATATTGACTCTCATGACCATGATGATACTTGGATAGGAGAGGTGATTTCCAGAGGTTTGAAGGAAAATAGTAATGTCAGATGTTTCAATTGTAGTAAACAAGGTCACCTAAAAAGGTATTATAAACAGGGCATTCCTAGAAACAATGTTTTTTCAAGGAACAATGGCAACAGAATGCCCCTCCCTTCTGGATTATACAGAAGGTGTGACAAAGACAAACACTGAACTAAGGAATGTAGATCAACAAGGGACAGACAAGGTAATCCTTTGTCTTTGCTGTTGGGAAACCCTCTGAGGTGTCTCTCACAGGCCCCTGTGACAAATTTAGTTCAGTCGTCTCCTGCCATCATGGAAGAAACCCCTTCCCAGAGCAATTAAAGAACCTAATAATGCCTATTGTAAAAACTCATACTGCTCTGGATAATAGAACAGCTTTAGAAAATAAAACAGAAATTTAAGGAGAAATTATAAATCAAAATTGATAAATATTAGATTTGGGAACTCCCCAAAGTTAGGGTTGTAGAAGGGTTTTGTTTTTGTCTTTCAGGGGAACAAAAGTATCCACCTAAGGAATCTGAAAAACACTGGACAAATGAGATATCTGAAGACAAAGGGCAAATCATCCAGAAAAAAAATGTCCCATGAAAAAGATTTTCTGCAGTGAACCATGACCATGCCTAACAGCAACTTTGAAGTCTCCAAAAAGATGATAGAGCCTCACAATGATGACTCCTTCAGGACAATGATAATGCCATTAAGCTGACAAATATCACCAAAAGTTTGTCTTTGGACTACAAACTACTCAGGATAATATCAAGATGGCTAGCTGAGATGATACAGCCTCACAGACTACTCCAATTAGGACTTGAGCATAATCCTAAATTTTCTTTGTGTCCCCATAAGATAACAAGCACCCCCAATCATCAGGAAGTAGCCTAGAAAACTATGCCCACATTCCCCAAAAAGTGTATTATGGATGTTTGTATTTGTTTAGAGGTTGGTTAAAAATTGTTATTGGTCATGGTCAATCTCTTTCTAAAAGAAGAAAGGGACATATGATATAGATATGTATTATACAGAAATGATAGGCTGAAAGGGTAGACTATTGGATCTACTCTGAAAAAAAAAAGATATAGACATAATAGGATAAAAGGGTATATTAT